TTTTAAGCTTGTTCAATTGTATTGTCTAATTTTCGCTTCTATACAACAAAAACGGAACAAATACCAAAAATAATAATAAGAGTGATTATCTCAATAACAATAATAATGGTAATAATAATAATTAGTATTAAATATGTCAATTATCGTTTCCTTTGGGAGGGAATCAAATATTTTTTGTGACAGTAAATAAAATTCGTTAACTATGTTTGTTACTCAACCACCTAATTGCCACTAAGCTCAGCTGATATTGATAACTTCCAGGATGCCTTTGAAGGCATTTTTATATTGGCTTGCTGAAAACAGCTGATTTGCTTTGTGTGCTCTGCGCTAGTGTTGTGCTGAAATACTCAACGAGCTGTTTTTAATTGATTATCGGGAAGACATCCTTAGTATATGTATCCACGTCTTGTTTCATCAGTTCAAGTTGCATATATTTGTACACTGGGATATCGGTAGTGTTAAGCTGTCGATGTTCTATATTGGTCCGTGCAGAAAGCTGAAATCCTCAAAATGATAAATATTTAAAGTAGTCGAATCTATTTCGAAACCTGAAATCGGGAAAAATTCTCGTCAACGTCGTCATTTGCTCGAACCTATGAAATTTTCTTGAAAAAACGTTTCGTGATGCTCTTATTGTACGTTCATAATGGTTTCTTTGTGATTCAGTTTGAGTGTTTGATATTGAGTTGAAGTTATTCAGTTGTTGTTGATGAAATAAGTGTTGTATGCGAGTAAATTCTTTTGATGCTATCTTCAATGTCAGTGGAGGTTGAATGAAAACAAGAGAAGCAGAAATTGAAGTGCGCATTCTGAACAAAAAACGGGAATTGATGAAATGAATTTTTAGATATTATCGTCCAAACTGATGATCATTTTATAGATTCATATCGCGTCATATGTTCGTTTACCAAATACTTTTATATTCTTCAAAATATGTGCATTTGAGAAATTGTCACTGAAACAACTTTTGATTTATGATCTAAAGATGATTGGTATTCGAATACTTTCCGACTCGATGAGTTCAGAACTCAAGCAATTTGAAAATATTCGAAAGGTATATAATCACTTCTCAATTGGCCATCTGTTGAGTCGTGAAATGTTTAAAGTAGGAACGGTGCGAGTGAGATATTCGAAACTATTTGTGATTTTGTGGTGAATATTGATAGTTAATCATCGAGTAAAGTTTACGCTTTTATAAGAGCATGAAGGAAACTTTCTTAATCCTTAAAAATCCGATTTTCCTGAATACATCCTTACATGTTTAATGTTCGCAATCGCAATATTTTGCCTCAAATTCAGAAATATTTCCTATGTTTCATTCGACCACATTCACCGCTATTGTATCGTTATTTTTGGATGCTTATTTTTTCGTAGCTGTTTTTCGATGGTACTGATGCTTGCTGTGTATGAATGGCATCGTTGAAGGTTGTTGGGCGAGATTCATTTGTGTCACGAAAAGTTTTTGTGTATTCAGGCGCTTGTTATAAATGAGATGCTTGTTTGTGCTACTTTATGTTGCCATGAAATGTCTACTGCTTGTAGACGGTGCGCCCACCAGGTCAGTGATGTCCCCATATTGCATTTTTCATTTTTCGTTGTTTTACACTAACTTTCCACCGTCCTCAACTGTTGTTGTCCTCACTTTTTCATTCCTTCAGCTAATCAATCGATCTTTAATCCTACGATACTCATACCATCCATCCTTTTAACCAACAATTTCCAATTTTATGCAGTTCTGTCCTTATGGTGTTTTGTTANAAAAATTGTAACAAGAAGAGCTCATATATACGAAAATGAACCAAAAAGTTTACGAAGATTATTTCTTCTAGGCAGCAATCTTCAGTATTTTAATGTCATTCATCCATTTATGAATGACTTCGATGTAACTGAATTTTGAAGGTATTGTATCTGTTCATCAGTATGCACCCAATCAAAGGAAATGTATTTTCATTTCAAAATTTATTAGTTCATTTAATAATGATTGCAAAAGATTATTGCAGTTGAAAGAATGTTTCCGTAGCACCACTGAATATTACTTTCAAAGTTCGTTCAGCATTTTTGTCTGAATGATGCCATTGTGCATCTTGTTGGTCTATTCTTTATCCACTTTCTTTCGTGCGATTGGCGACTTTCCGTGCGATTGTCTATCCGAAGTTGTTGAAGATTTACGGAAGTAGTTTAACGAAAAAATTGTTTTACTGTATGCTGGAACGTTTGAGCCGTAAAATTGAAATTCGTGATCGTGTTTGAAGCGAGTCTCGAACGAATATGTCCGAAAGTAGCGGTAGCGATCGATGGGAATTCGAGGAGCCACGTTTCGATGGCAGTCGTTTCGGAAATCCAGCTTCTTTCACCGATTGGACGGGTGTACCGGGTCCGATTGCGCTTTTCAAGTGGAAATTCGTTGAGAAAGATGACTCGAAACTTCCATCAGATGAGGTCACATCCGAGGCTCATCATTCGTTATCACTCGTTGTCGAATGATCAAGAAATAAGCTTTTTGAAGAAGCAAAGAACAGAGTGAAAATTCATAAAATTGATTGTTTCGCATCTGAAAATGGCTTAAGTGCCATTTGCATAAACGCATTCAAGGTTCTGGACGAAACATTACCGGTTCAAAGGCCAGACTTCAATCGAAAACAGTCATCGAAACTCGCGTTGACATGGCTTGGTCACGCTACCGTACTCGTTCAAATGGGTGCGATCAACTTTATCACTGATCCAGTATGGTCACCCAGAGCCTCACCAATCCAAGTGGCATTTGGACCACGCCGGTATCGACCACCACCGATTGAATTAGAACAGCTGCCTGAGGTTCGTGAATCCCACGAATGGGAAAGGTGATTTCCGTGTGGATTTGTTGGGAATGCTGAGAATATGATTGCTGCTTACCCATAATTTCTTATGCTGGACTGTTATTGGAATGATGCGATGATTTGACCAGGTTCTGAAGTGTTGTTTTATCAATAGCACTAGTAGGAGGTTCGAACGATAGATTGGATGTGGGTGGGATCAGCAACCAGACTGGAACTCATGGGCCACCAAAAAGTCCAAAATTATTTCCTCATCACAAAGGTTGTTGTACTCGAATATGAGGACTTTATTGTTCAGTGGGAGTGAGTAAAATCTGATTCTCATTTGGATGTAGATCTCTTACATCAGGCCAACAATAAGGCAGTGTCACTTCGGGTCTCCCAACAGAAGCAAGGTTGCTCTCAAGAGACGAGAATGTGTGCGCCAGGTAGTTGTGATGAAAAATGAGAAAATTTTCAAATTGTCGCACTATACTTCTGCATCACCCATAAAGCACTTACAAAATATTGCCGCAAATGCGATTCAGTCGCAGTTTTAGCCAAGGGTTACAATCGAAAAAAAAACACTGAGAATCACTCAAAGCTTGATTCCAGTTGGATTTTGGTGTGATCTCACATAATCATTATGATCATTTGGATGCGAAAAGTGTTCGAAGACTAAGTGAACTGTTTCCGCGGATGTTATGGTTTGTGCCGTTGGGCGTAAAGCTTTGGATGATGAACAATGGTATACCAGCTGCGAATGTCCATGAAATGAACTGGTATATCGTCTTTTATCCGTCGAAATCATAACCTCCCTATTAGCTCTTTCGTGAACTGGATCCATTATAGCACTGTTGTGCAACAGTTGAGTTATTACTAACCAGCAAAGCTGTCACACTTTCATAATCTCCATATGCCTTGTTATGTTATCGCAACCATGCCACCGAAATGAGGTGAACGATCCTGTATTGTTTTTTGCATTTATGCAATAGTTTGCTTGTAACTGATACACAAATTAGGTGATAGCTGACGTTAGCTGATGTTATTTGAATACTGGTTGAGTACTGGGACTTTTCCGTTTAAAAAAACGGTTTAATGGGTATCGTGTGCTTATGTTCAGGGGTGATCATCAAAAATTCGATTTCAATGGAACGCAGGCTGAAATTTGGTGTATTCCTGCACAGCATTGGTCACAACGCGGTATTTTGGATCGTTTTAAGGTGAACATTTTATTTGTTATAAACGGATTTATATAAATGTCTGTTTTTCTCTCAAGAATTCATTCACAACGGTACATGTAGTTGTTGTGAAGGGTTCTCTTTTTGCTCACATGTTCCGATTATTTTCAACAGTTTTTGTTCATCACCGATATTTTCGGTTGATATGAGCTCACTCGATGATCACAATGGTTACGATGACAACTGTCAAACACACTCACATCAGCTGTTCAGATACTATGCAATGAGAATATGTTCGATATTGCTTATTGAGCAAATAATCTTATTCGGATTGTTTTAAGTAATCCATATTGAATGAGACCATTCAAGTAATCCAGAATGTATTCGTCGAATTTTTGTGCCTTTTCGTGTGCGAAACACTTTTAATAGGAAGTGCTGTAAGAAAAGATTGTAGCAACAAATGAGACCGAAAATAAAATGAGAAAAATGGAAGAATGAAATAAAAAACATTCATTTTTCGTTTTCAGTAGAATTTTTTCTGTTTCTTCACACTGGTGAAAGCGATTCGTTTGCATTTTGCTATCGTGTAGTCAGAAAGAATTTAGCATCACTACTGTTTGTAACACCAAAAATCATCACATTATAATCAGTCAAATACACGATTCTGCAGCTTAAAGCAGTGCATTCGTATTTAATGGATCACGATTTTTGATTCATTTCAACTTCTGTTTCATCACTTCAGTCGTAAACATCATCCGAAATAGTTTATCTGCTTTGTTCATCAACTCACTTCTCTTATTTATTATACACTAATGTTCTTCAATTGATTGGCGCTTATCAATGTAAAAATCGCCCGTTCGTTCCACTGCTTTCGATCGTGCGCAATGAAGAATCGCTTTTCTTTATCAGATCACGTCATGATCCCATCTAAATTTTTATTTTAAGTTTGGGAAAATTTT